TAAAAGCCGAAGATAACCAATTACCTCAAACAAACAAAAACCTCACAAACTCGAAACCAAGAGCAGAGCAAAATATTGGGCACCTATATTACTGTGAAACTGCTAAAAGTTATGGTCTTCAGCTAATCCTACGCTCCATATTAACGAATCACATTTGTTTTGAACAGCATACGAACAATGTCGCTGAACCAGATTTTTTATTTTTCCCAGGAGAAATCTAAAATTCCTCAGTATATATATATATATATATATTCGATTTAGGGTTTTTAGCAATAAATGGAATCGAGAAATCGGACGGTTGAGAAATGATTTGACGATCGATTCGAAGGTAGATGACAAATATTGCCGCGCACGTTGTTAAATACTCTCACAGCTTTTGTACGGACACCTTTGTTTTATGGGGCTAGGCCCAATTATATAAGGCCCAATTATGGAGTCGTAGTGCTTGTTGTTAGGATAATAACATCTGGAGTCGTCGGGAGCCCAATTATATCATGCAGGATGTGATTAGAGATTAATTATATAATGTATCAATGATTTTTTGGTAAAGGATTTTAAAGTTGACATCAATGATTTGCAGCTGAGTACTCAAATATCAATGATTTTATGTAAAGTCTTAAGAGTTTAAATTATGGTTACAGTAAGTCTCCGGAGCTTTTTCAAAATAATGATTTAACTAATATTTTTTGGTCTTGTTGGTATATAAGATCGATAATTCAAGAACATTTGTGTAATGTAATTTGGATAGATAGGGTTGGTAAGAATTTTTAACTTCCCCGGCTTCCCGCTATGTGTGGAATAAAGAGATCCATATATAATGTTCGATATAGGTCAAAAATTACGTAATAATGAATCCTAAAACGGATATTGTTTTTTCTACCGGCAATTTTTTTTTTTTTAAATGTGTGTTAGTGTGTAGATGCTAGCTCCAGTACTTATACGACTAAAAAGATCTTCTTGTATCTGTACAAGGAATATACTTATGAACTCTATTGTTGGACCACGGGAACTCAAATCTAGTAAGTTCATCATAAGCTTAAATAAATATCGACCGACTTTGGAAATCTTTGTTATAATAAAGCATGTGAAATGAGCTCACCCAGATTCAAAATGGGCCACGTAACATTAACTTTCTCAATATCATTAATGTCAAATCTCAAATGCAAGGGCTACCTCGTGATCCAATTTAATAAGTATCTATATGGCGTCCAACTAAAATAAGTTATAGTAGTGTAACTACACTCCCTAGCTACATTAATGCTAATTCTCGTTAATGAACACTTCTCATAACTACGAAACGACTTAAATAAACCAGAACTTAAAAATTAAAGATTAATTATACTCCTACTCAAGAAAAAAGATTTCGAAGGAAAAAATGCTGAGATCTCTTTCCTCATATATCAAAGCTAAAATCCCATGTTATAAAAAAAGGAAAGAAAAAAAAAAGAGAAGATAAAAGTGATTTTTTTTTGGTTTTTTGGAATTGAAGAGAAGAAGATGAATCTTGGTGTGGTCATCTTCAACCTCCGAACTTCATGTCTTCTTGATCTACGCGTTGGAGAAACGAAGTAAGAACTTTAATGGTTTTGATCTGACATTGTAGAGACATAATGTAACCAGCTGTCTCTTCGAAGAGCGCGTCCACACCAAGCGCCGTTCCTCCGGGGATAATCCTCTGCAACGCCTCAATCTTTTCCTTTACCTCGTCTTCTTCTTCTTCTTCTTCCCGGTCTTCACGTACGCTTGCGTTAGTCTCTGACAATCTCCGTTTGGTTCTGCGCTCGAAACCAGCGGCGCGTGATTTCACGGCGGCTGAGCACGACGGTGACAGAGAGCGTCTCGTGGTGTCGGGAGTGGCTAAAGTTTCTTCCATTGAAGGAGAGAGAGAGAGAGAGAGAAGAATGATGAGTTTGAGAGAATAATGAAGAAGTAAGGAATGTGGATGTGTGTGAAGTGTATATATATATATGATGAGTGATGATGGATTTAGTGGACAAAAATGGTGATGGTTAAATCTGGTCGGTTTAACCTGATTTTACTTTGGTTTGTTGTGAGTAATTAGAGACAATACTATATCGGTTTAGTTTGGTCTGCTATGCTTTTATTATGTTACATTGTTTGCTTACATTAGTGAAAGGTTCGGTTATGAACGAATTTTGGTTTGGTTTGTCTAAAAAAAAACGATGTAAAAATTGAAACTCAATTAAAAAAATTCTATTTTTAGAAATGAAAAATGGTTAAATGGGCGGTATTGCCATCAAAGCTGGGTCCACTACTTGTACGTTGTTTTTAATTTTATTATCCTCGTGTTTCGGATTGTTGAGTAGGGGTGGGCACGGATCGGATATCCGGGTTTTTAGTGGTATTTGTTATTTGATTCGTTTTTTCCGAATACTAAGTTTTCCGATTCGTATTTGCTTCGTTAGTAACCGGATATCCGGCTGTTCGAATATCCGTTAAAATCCAAACTATTTGCCGGATATTCGATCCGTTAAGTATTTGTTTAAAATTAAACAAAAAAAATTAATAAATAAAATCTAATCCAAAAATTGTAAAATTTTATTTAAAAATAGTAATATTTTATCAAAAATATATATGTTTCTCCTTTGATTGTTCAAATTAGTAGTTCAAATAATTAATTCAGAGATTAAAAATTATAAAACGCTTACAAGAATAATAAAATTATAATTTATATATGTATGTATTCCGGAGCGAATCGGATATCCGCTAATTTGAATTATAGTATTTGATATTTGCTCCGATTTTTACGAATATCTATTTTTAATATTTGATTTGCTTCGAAAAGTTACGGATATCAAGATTTTTCAAATCGAATCGAATCGAATAACGGATCGAAGCGAATCTAACGGATATTTAGCCGAGCCCTAAATTGTTGAGAGTTATTTATTTTTCTTCTCTTACTTGGGTTGCTTCCACAGATTTGGATCTCTAGAAGAAGACCTTTCACGCGCCATGTCGACTGGTTTAGACTTTAGTGGACACATCACTCACTTAAGTGGACCATGCTCACATCTAGATATGGCACGTTAAAATTTTTTTTTAAGAGCTAGACGTTTGACATAGTAATTAACTAATTACACAACAATGTTGATTGGCAAAAAAAAAAAAAAAAATACACAACAATGTTTTAATATTGTATAGGTTATGCTTTGTTAATATAAGCCGGATTACTTTTAGTAAGTGTGTCATTTCTTTTTCCGGACTTCTGTGTGTCTTGTTAAAATATCATTCGAACTTTAATTTAAAATATAAATGGTATGTGATCTGGTTTAGCCATGAATGTAATAGCTATACGTTGTTTTGCATTGTTAATGGTCTTACTTTCTACTACAAGGTTAATTAAAGATAGAAGTTCTTTTATGAGAGCTCAAAGTTCCAAAATAAAAAATCAATTAGAAGACGACGAATCCTAGTTATGCACTTAATTATGCTTATAAGCCGGCCATTCGGGGTGGTGGTAATAAGAGTGTAAGTAATAACGTAGACACAAAAAAAAAAAAAATAAATAAATAAATAAATAACGTAGACACGTAGTACGTACGGACGAAATGAAAAGACCACGCGCGTGGAGATAAGGAAGGAGAAGAAGGATACATACAGTGAGACACTACTTGCATGGGAACAAGGGAGAGAGAGGAGGACATGTGCGGGTCACATGAATATCTCCATCTTCAAAGCCCCATTCCCATGTGCCTCCTCCTCTCTATACATTATGTACAGACTGTAATATATTACTATTATTATTAGATGGATGAGATCAAATAGATACTCTAAGAGATAGTGAACTTGTTCGTACAATTGAGGAGGATCTAATCCTACTAAGATCCACATGATATCTATCGGGCATGGTGGCCACGTGTCAGCCCTTTTTTGGGTCCCCCCACCTCATTGTGACTCCTAAATCTGTCCTTCATTTTTTGTTTTGATTTTTTTTTGTCAACTCCTTAGCTTTCTTTTATTATTCAAAAAAAAACTCTAAATCTCCCATTTTTTTTTTTTGATAAGAAAAATCTCCCATATTTCTTACCATGAAAAACAACAATCTCATTATATCTATAATTTTAGAGAAACTGCCAATAACAAGAAGAAAGAAAGCCAAGGAAGTTTAATGCTATATGTTTCTAGAGATCTATATACACATAAAACCGTTATAATAAATGTTACTTAATGTTGTGTTCCATAATTTTAATGAGTAATACACCCTCCGATGCATTCTTTTGACAACTAAGATGCTAAGATGTTTTAAAAACTAGATAAAGAACAACATCTAATTATTAAAGAGTAATACTGATAACATCTAATCAAAAGAAACAGAAACAGAAGGATTATACTTTTACGTCTAGGGTTTTTAATAGTACGAAGGATTGTTTAGATGTTGTTTTAAAAGAAGAAGAAGCTGTAAGAGAAAAATAAAAATGATGTTTCCAAGGAGGGGACGAAGAAGGGTTTGGTTTCTCGGGATTGAGATTTACAAAAATCGGGTCCCTTTCGCATTTCACCATCTACCAAACTGACACTCACCCCAATTCTAGTATCTATTTATTTATGTATTTGCATTTACATTAAATATGTTACAAAAATAACACACTGAAAATTTAATTTTAGCTTTTAGCCAGCTTTCACATTCGTCGTCTTGGAATATTCAATTCCATGTCCTTTTGTATCTTGTTCGTTGTTTCTCTTTTTCTTTTCTTCAAAAATAACTTTATTTAATGATGAAAAACTTTTATATCTAGGAGGAGATTGAGATGATTCCCTTTCACTACCATTTTTTGTTGCTACAAAAATAATAGAGAAGAGTTTGGTTAAGACAAGACAAGTATGTTTTTTAGAGTGAGAAAG